AAGCAATTTAAATATTGGATAGGGTTTATACTATAAATTGATCAAATCCATTCAAGAATACTAAATCGTATTATAAGTATCTATATATTAAGCTAAATTCGAATGCTAGTATAATAATACCCCCATTATAGAAAGAGGAAGGGGGGTAATTCTATACATTATAATTAAATATTCGATATTATTAAAAATACCCACTTCTAATATAGTTTCAATACCTTTAAATACTTCCTTTTACTACTTTATAAGGCTTAGCTCTCGTTAGAAATAGACCGTTTGTATATTAGTTATATAATTAAGAAATAGATTAAAGTTGAGGAGAATTAATACCAACTTTAACTAACTATCCCCGCTATAAACTAGCAGGATTTAAAATATATATTTATTACTAAAAGGAATAAGTAATTTACTCCCTTAAATTGGGTAGGCTAGATTTTACTACTAATAACTACTATAATAGCTATTGAAGCAATTCAACCTCCAATTTATAATATCCAAACTATAACTATTACTTTTCTTTAGTAGTAGACTTATATATTTAATAAGCTACTTAACTGTATAATTATACACTTCTTAAATTTTAAAATTAGGAAAGGGATATACACGCTGTATACGTATATTCAGAGGCTTAGTCTCGGTCCGAAGTAATTCTAAACGTATCTTATAGACTACTAGTCGGTTATTATACTATTTATAGTAAGGGTATTTAGTACTACTACTAATAATATACTATATAAACGGGCCTTCTCTATTATAAATTTTTTGGAATTACCTATATATAATCGATTATCTAGGGAGTAAAGAAATAAGGCCGTATTTATTTAAATAAATGGTAGAGAACTTCACAAATTTAATAATTCCTTTACCGGACTAACTTATAAATAAAGAGAAGTAGGCTACTTAAAATTAAAAAAACACCTATATACCAACATGCCAGCAAACAATTTCCTAATTAGATAGTTAAAATAAATACTATAATAGTGGCGAGAGTAAATAGATTATTATGTTTGGAAAGAAGTTAATAAATAGCAGTCTAATTATCTAAGTAATAATATAATATTATCAATTTTAGGTAATTTCTTGCCTTTTTAAAGTAGTATACAGGGCACGTCAACCCTCCAGAAATCCAAGATTTTGTTATATAACCAGTAAAAATAGTAAGAAATCTCATTTTTTCTATTCTGTTATAGTAATTTCCAAAAATTACCACTAACGAGTTATACCGATTGAACTCTAGCTACCGTAAAAACGGGTAGTGTAGAGTAGGGTGGGGTGGTTTTAAGGGTAGTAGGTTTGAGAATTGAGACTAGTCTTAGTTCTAGTATAACTAAAGATCCGGCACAAGGTGTCACAACAATAGGGGTATTGCTCTAAAAGGCTTCGTGCACAGATCACCTATTCTCCAACTTACTACATGAAGATACACAAAAGTAGGATAATATAACTCTGTACTAGACCCTATTTTTGCATTTTACCATGTTAAGTTTGAGGGTAAACTTCTATATACGCTATGCTGGTTGCAGGTTTGCACTTAACCTTCAAGTCTGGGAGTTTTGGAGCTTGCTGTTGTTACATTTACAGGGGGGTTTCTCTTTAGTTACCTCTGAAGCTATACGTTCTATAATTCCCTAGCCGCCACCACGCCATACTCTTCGATAGCCTGTCGTTATTCTGCCCGCTTCCCCTCAATTCACGCTCTGGCTTCCAACAACATCATGCAAGAAATGCTAGCTGAAATTTCAACAAACACAAGAGTCAACCAAGGTTGGTACAAGCCCACGCTATGATATACGATTTCCGGGGTGGTGAACCCGTGGGACGAGGAGCTGGACTGGTCTGAAAGGCAACTCCGAGGCAGTGGGGAAATAACTGGCCCATCCAGATTTCGCTGCAATCAAATTAGGGAAGGTTACCCGTTGGGACACTGACATAATAATATCAAGCAATGACAGGACGCTTGTGAGATGTAGCAAAATTCAGCTCTAAATCTGCAACTTATCTTCTCCTCCTTATAGATGAATTGTCCTCGTCCGGTCTCCTGTACCTCAACAGGACGGACACGTTTACACACACTTAATCGCCAAAAGGAAGAGTGCCCCCGGCTAGCAGTACACCATCGCACCATTTTAACAAGGACCTAGCTTGTATCACGCTTTAACTTACCTTCCACATGCTTTGCCCACCACTCGCCCCAATCGATCACCTTTTTGTTCTTCCTTGCCTCTTCGGCACAGAAGACCATAGCATGGCTGCGCATCACTTCTTCTAGAGTACAACCAACCAGTTCCGTTTGCGCTCTGTTGGTAGTCCAGCCATGGTTTTTGACTTTGTCAACAGCTCGAACGAACTGGCGCGTCAGTCCTAGGTCCCCACCTCCATGACCGCGGTCCTCGTTCCGAGGGCAATGGGTGGTTGTTTCCCCGGTGCGAAAGTCATGGATCGTAATAGTGGACGAGTCGGCAAAGATCTCCCCGTCGACGCCGTACAGATTCGTATATCTCTGACAGATCTTGTTCGTCTGAGCTACCATGTGGAAAGTTGCCATCTTCGAGCCACGACCACGCGAGGGGCTCGAAATTAAGACATTTTCCTGACCCAATTCGTGGGGGAAACTCGGAAGACTCGGAACGGGGTCATCATCCCAAGTGATGGTGACAATCTGTTCATCGCACACATCGTTGTCACTCTCGTAAACACATCGGCCAAACCAGTTGCTCTGTTGGATTTGCAAAGCGGGAGTGTTAGTGCCGTAATCCTTGGCCAGTTCGCGAAGCAGTGTCTCCCTTGCCACATCCATGTCCGAGTAACTTTCGATATCGGGAATCACGACATTGACAGGCCAGTCGGTATTGTACGAGTCCAATCCAAACTCGTCCTGAGTAACGTATATACGCTTCGCCGAATATTTGCAGGACGACTCGATAGGGCAGGATAGGCAGTTGGTAGCCGTCCCTGCGGCGGCCGGCTTTCGGCTCCTTTTAAAGTACTGCAGCGAGCCCGTACTGCTGATAGTAGATGGTAAATGGGGGGTTTCGCCATGCTGGGCAATGTAAGAGGCGGGCGAGCAGAGAAGCCACAACAAAACGTCGATATCATGACAGCTTTTTGTCAGCAGGCTGGGCGCCGAGGTACTCTCTCGACGCCAATTACCACGGACGTAGCTGTGGGTGAAATGCCACCAACCGACGGGCTCAGTATGCACAACGGACAGCACATCGCCAATAACACGGTCTTCGAGGAGTAGCTTTCGGAGCAGCATGTTATGGGGGCTGTACCGAAGGACATGGCCTATAGAAAAGACCATCTGCTCCCCTTTAGCGTTCGTGTTGGTGCGTAGTGCCTCGTATATGTCGATGCAGTCCCGCAGAGTTGTGGCCAGTGGTTTCTCGCACATTATGTGCAAGCCTCCGAGCATGGTAAGGGCGAGAATGACCTCCCTGTGCATCTCATCTAGAACACACACAAAGGCAGCATCGACGCCGGGCGGAACATCCGTCTCGCCGGCCAAAATTCGAGCTCGCCGGCCCTTCTCGTATGCAATGAAGTCACGCCAATCATCGAACTGGACGCCTTCGGACGGAAGAGCGTGTGATCCCCAAATGAAGCTTTGGCCGAACTGCCTTCTCTTATACTTGTTAGGCTCCGCTACTGCAGTGACGATACCGTCAGTCGAGGACTGAATGGCTCGAGCATAAGCTCGACCACGAGAGCCGGCGCCGACAACAAGTATACGAGGCGGGTTGGGTACCATCTTGTTCGTGTGGTGATAGCTTTGAGTTTCGAGTGCTGTTTGCAGTGAACCGAATTAGAAAAGAAAAAAAAGAAATGAAATTAAAAAAGGGAAAAAAACCTTAGGGTGGGCGGGGGAAAGGGAGAGGATTGGAAGGAAAGAGAAGGGAGCGTGACTGCTGCAACAACCGGTACCTCCTCACACAGCTTACACGTGTGCGTACCTCCGTCTATAGTAGTACCCGACTATACAAGCCTAGTCTCAATTCTTAGACCTACACCTCTGCCGGGATATAAAAGGTTAGCGCGGTACTTGAATCTTACAGTTTTGTGAAGGTTGTGAGGTGAGGAAATCGTCTATCTTTTGTATACAAATTCAAGTAATCGCCACTCTGCTATTCATCGCGCTAACCTTTTACATCCCAGCAAAGGTGTACTTAGTCTTTATTACTTAACCTCTATCGACTAGGGATCGATTGATTCCGAAATAATGGGATTATTGCACGTTATTACCAGTTGCTGAAATTACCGCTAATTCAAGGGACCTTACACTGCACACAACTCGATTATTTCACAACCGTTCAATATACCAATTTGCTTCCTGATCTCCCCTTATTACTAGTTTCTACCTAGTAACCCTCTACTCTACTCCCCACATCTTTAACAATATCTCCAGCAATACCCCCAATCCGACAAACCAGAAGCGAGGCAATTCTTAGGGAGTTCGTCTTAACCAATGAACTAGGGTGCGTAGTTTAGACTACCCAGTACAACCATTACAACAACCGTCAGTCGGCCAACGTCACTAGACTGCGCACGCATCTCGAGGAGTGTGAGCCATACTGTATATTTTACACAGATTTGGGGGTTTTAAGAGCCCAGTCTGTGTGCCCAGCGCCCACATTTCAGTCACGTGGCTTGAAACCGATGAAAAAATGGCCATTTTTGCATGAAATTTCTGGAAATTTCAGTTATTACTGGTTGCAGTTATTACTGATCGATCCCTACTATCGACAACGCTTCAGCGGACCCGCCCTACAAAAATAGGGGGTGGGGTGGGTTTTGGAGGTTGAGTGGGTTTGAGAACTGAGACTACTGCAATAATCTTTAATTGGACAGAGCCGGATGTCCCCCCTGATAGGGCCGGATCGAAACAACACCTTATCAACCATACCACCACAGGACCAACATCAACGGTCTAAGTCAACGGTTGCTGGCGAGGTGACCTACGTACACCCTCCAGGTCTTGCAACGACTCCATTTTGGCTTAACGCCGCTTGTTCTTCAATATCATTCAAATATGGTGTCGACACCGCAAGCCGCGCATGTGGCGGCCCAGCAGCAGAGCCAAGGTGCCCTGGTCTGGATCGACTGTGAGGTGCTTAGTGCCAGCCCCTTATTGATCGCATTTCTCATCACCAATGTCTCACCTCGCTCACACGCAGTGTTTAAGTAGATGACCGGCCTTGACCCGGACCAAGATGCCATCATTGAGATCTACTGCTTCATTACCGACGAGCAACTCAACCTCTTAGATCGTACCGGCTGGGGCACCGTCATTCACCAGACGAAGGCGCGCATGGATGCCATGGATGAATGGTGTACACAAGTCCACGGCAATAGTGGTCTCATGGCCGCCGTCTTGGCCTCTACTGTCACGCCGGAACAGGCAGCAGACGGGCTGCTCACCTATATACAGAAGTATGTCCCAAATAAGCGCGTGGCCCTCTTAGCCGGAAACAGCGTACATGCCGACCGCGCCTTTCTCCGCAAGGAGCCCTATGACAGGGTCGTCGATCATCTGCACTACCGCATCTTGGATGTAAGTAGTCTAAAAGAAGCTGCTCGTCGTTGGTGCCCTCATATCGCCTCGGGAGCCCCTACCAAGCAGGGACTTCATACGGCGAAGGAGGACATTTTGGAGAGCATCGCAGAGGCTAGGTACTATCGATCTGCTATTTTTCAGAAGGACTAGATCGTATCTTCATAATAGGACAGGAGCGACATGGCCACCATACGTACGATATGGATTCGATCGGTTGGAAGATGAATTACATTATTTTGTTTGCACTGTCATAATCTCCACGGAGAACTAGCCACCCCAGCCGTAGTTGGTTCCATAGGCCTACATGAACGCCAAACTCATGTCTTCACGTCCGGCTCGTCACGACCAACGAATTCCTTGAACTTCAAGAGCTCGGTTGCCATCTTGATTTCAGGCGCCAGGAAGTCCTGGGCATCCATATCATATGTGGCGGGATCCGTGCTGTGCTGCTCAATGTACAAGCGGATGGTGGCGCCGGAAGAACCGGTGCCGGACAGGCGAACAACGATCCTGCTGCCCGAGGAAAAGCGGGCATACAGACCTTGGTTGGAAGAGACTGAGCCGTCCAAATCGGTGTACGAAAAGTCCCCAGCTTCCGTGACAGTACGATCTAGACAAAAATGGATCTCCGGTTAGCATCTGGAAGACCACTCGGTAAGGGCAATCGTCACGAGACTCACCTCCAACCTTGCTTCCTACGAAGTTTGGATCCGCCACCAAATCCCTGAGGATACCAACAACTTTGTTGGCACCTTCTGAATCCACATCCTCGTAATCATAGCGGGTGAAGAAGGTTCGTCCGTACTCAGCCCAGAAATCCTTTTGGATCTGTTTGATGCTGGGCGCTACTCCGGGGTTGGCGACACCCAATCCCGCAATGATATTCAACCAAGCCACAATGGCCCAGAGACCATCCTTCTCTCTGATGTGGTTGCTGCCTGTTCCAAACGACTCTTCGCCGCAGATAGAGAGCTTATTGGCGTCGAACAAGGCGCAGAAAAACTTCCAACCAGTGGGAACCTCATAGCAGTTCAGGCCTTGCTTCTTGGCAACCAAATCCACTGCTCCCGAAGTAGGCATACTGCGTGCCAGGCCGTACACACCATTCTTCTTAAAGTAGGGAATAAGCTGGGCATGGTGAGCGATAATAGCCAAACTGTCACCGGGCGACACAAAAGCGCCAGCACCGTAGATCATGTTGCGATCTCCGTCACCGTCAGAGGCTGCGCCAAACGGAATGTTGTTCTTCTCCACAGTCTCAACCAAGCTGTGTGCGTAAGTAAGGTTGGGGTCAGGGTGGCCACCGTTGAAGTCAGGGGAAGGCTCGCAGTTCTGTGTCGACTCGGAGCCAAGACCGAGCTCCTGCTGGAAGATGGCCTTGCCGTACGGTCCGGTCACGCCCGAAAGACCGTCGAACAAGACCTTGAAATCAGGGTGAGCGGCAAAAAACTTCTTGATCAGGTCAAAGTCGAAGATATCCTTGAGCATCTCGACATAGTCCGCGGTGCTATCGACCACCTCGATCTCGAGGTCACCGTACGTCTTGGTACCAATGGTTGAAATGTCAATGTTGGGAATGCTCGCAATCTTGTACGAGGTCAGGGTCTTGGAGACTTCGTAGATCTTGTTGGTGACCGACTCGGGCGCCGGGCCACCGTTGGCGAGGTTGTACTTGATGCCGAAGTCGTTCTTGGGACCTAAGCCAGTGTTAACACCGGGTGAGCCATGACAGCTAGGGGGGGCTGCTGTTCCTCACCTCCGGGGTTGTGGCTAGCGGTCAGAAGGATGCCACCTGTCGCCTTGCGCTTGCGGATGACATGGCTGGCGGCAGGGGTCGACAAGATGCCATCCTGGCCGATCAGGAGCTTCTTGACGCCATACGCGGCACCAATCTTGGCAATCAGCTGAATCACCTCAGGGTTCCAAAATCGGCCATCCCCGCCGATGACGAGGAAGGCACCTATTATTGATTGTATCAACCGGTCAGCTCCAAAAGCCCACTTGCAATTAAGCTTGGTGTATCAAGATTTTGGTATAGGCATGTGTTTTCTCCTACCTTCGGCACCTTCAGGGATGGAGAGCAAGATGCTCGTGATGAAGGCCTCACTATAGTGTGGCTGTTGGAATACGGTCACTTTTTTACGAAGTCCGGAGCTGTGACGGCGGTCCCAAAACGGCTCTTGTTAGTCTTGCTGTTCGATATACGTTCAAAGCCGGCCAAAGCTCAATCGGTGCTTGCAGATATAGCTTTGACATGCCAGAAAGGAGGAGGGTGTCTGGAGAATTAGGAGGACGAGCGAAGGTGGTGACGTACGTGCCCGGCTTCTGGTCGGTGAATGGCTTGAACTCAACAGTCTGGACCTCCATAATTGCGCGCTTGTGTGAGTAAGGTAGGTGTTAGAGGATGGCTGGCTGGATAAGTGAAAAGAATGAAGAATCAGAAGTAGGATAAGTAACGGCGAGAGCTCTCAAGTTGACCGTAGGAGAATAGAAAGATGATTGAAACCCAATCTCTCCTGAGCGGCGTGGGTAGCTCTATTAAAGAGGCCCGAGAGGGGAGGGTCCGCTGTCAAAGGTCGGTGGTACTCCAGGTAATTGGTAGGCTAGCAAGGTGGGCACAGGTGGGGCAGCGTTGGCAAAGGGGGTGTGGGGAAGAGAGGAGGGGAAGGTAAGGTAGGAGCTGGAAGAGGAAAGAAGGATAGCACAAGTCAAGCTGGATAGATCGACCGAGGGCCTGGATAAACCAGCGGTGTAGGGGCTGTCTGAGTGATAAAGTGTTATTTTTTAGCAGCTGAACTACTGGATACTAATCTTTTTAGCAATGTAGTAATTACTAAAAATGTAAAGTGTTATATAGAATAATGATCTGAAAGTACTGCAGCGGAAATATAAGAAGCACATTTAGCATAGATAAGAGTTTTGAGCTAGCCTTAGTTCCAAAGTAGTCTGGTAATCTAGGCCGGACAACATTGTTTTGGCTAGATAGTTGAGGAAGCTTTCTAGTTAGCCAGCTTTTCCTAAAAAAAAAAGCAAAAGCTAAAGAGCCTTCTATAACGCTTAGAAAGGCTGCTATAGGAGATTATTGAAGTTAAGTTAGTAGAAGACTTCGATTTTAAAGTTGTTGCAAAACTTTCCATAACTGAAAAAAAAAAAAAAAAAACTTAAAACTTAAATAGAATCGAATAGACAATTTATATAACGTGTTATGGGGCTAGCGCCCTAGATCAAAGACTCAGCTTTGCCAAGTCTGCCACGCCAGAACCAGCCGTATTAATAAGGATGCGAGCCTCCTAATTGGTTGGATCTACATATTTGCCTAGCCCGAGCGGTCTTGGTGCCCTGCATAAAACCTTCTTTAGACTGCATCCTTCTAGTGCCGTCTTCTCTTGCTCTTTTTGTCAAATATAGCATTTCAATCTTATATGACTGCTCGCTATACAATACTCTAGCAGACCCGTTACATCCTTATTAATATAGTTAGTCCCAGCTTAGTAGACTTAGCAAAGTCGAGTCTTAATCTTAGGCGCTAGCCTTATAATGATTTAAGGAAAAACAAATAAAGATAGAAGCTATTGAGCTGCTAAGCTAATAGTTCAAATTAAAGCTACGGTATGTAATTTATATAATATATTTTAACTTCTACTTTAGACCTTCCTAGAGCTTTAAAAGGCTGAAAAAGAAAGGGGCAAATCTTTGCTCTATAAACTTTTTTTTTCAATATATATATATATATATATATTCTTTTGAAAAAGTTTTAGCAAGAAAATTTTAACTTAGAGAGCTTTATTATTGAGACCACTATAATCAATTACTAAAGGTTAAAGCTTTAGTACAGCTCTTGAAGAAGAAAGTTTTTAACTAATTAAATACTTTTCTCAACCGTCTAGCCTAGATGATATTATCCAGCCTAGTTATAAAATCTAGTACAAACTTGAAATTTAGTATAAATCCCCCAATCTACGCTAGATGCTAGTCATATTGTTCCGCTATAGGAGTTATAGTAAAGTAACTATAACGTGATACTTTTATGGGGTTTTAGTTAAGATATTATATTAAAATAATACTATAGGGGATAACTTTTATTTATAATGGCTAATAAATTAAAGAAAAAAAAATATGATAAAAAGGAGAAAAGCTTCCAGCCAGCTGTCTATATATAATAAATATATAATATCGAAAGTTAGAGTATAGGCTATAGAGTAGCCTAGGCACTTGTTACGGTACGTGGATTAGATAAGTAGCTAGTATTACTAATTTAATAAATAGAATAGATAATTAATTATAATAAGTAAAAAGAAAAAAGAAGTGTTGGCTCTAATTAGTATAAATAAATATAGGAAGTATAAAAGCGTGATCTTATAAGAGATAAATCGCAACACTAGAAGCTACAAATTAAAGTAATATTAAGTGTAAAGAAGGAAAGGGAAGTAAATAAACGCTAGCATTGTAGATTTAAATATATAAGTCGATTCCACTAAGCGTTGCTGCCTTCCCAATTTATAACGTCTATTAATAAGCGTTTAAGCTTTATTCTATCCAATATTTTCCTTTGCTAGTACCCTATACCCGGTACCCTAGGCGCTCATCTAGGTATGTTATAACATTACCACTCCCTTTGAAAGAAGGCTTAGCCCTAGAGTCGAAAGAAAAGAAGAAAAATAAAAAGGAATTACTTTTTATTATGAATAAATAAGCGAGTACGTAGGATTATTATAATAATTTATCTAATTTGCTAATTATAATAATAATTCCCGGATCTAATAAAAACAAATAGAATTCTATACTAAGTAATACGATTAAAGTTCAATTTGGTTATTATAGTACTAACTGTATAAAAACTTAAATAAACTTTCTCCTAGTTGGGTTTGAACAGAGAGCTTCCCTAATAGAGGATAAATATTATTAGGTTTTAGTATATTTTTAGTATTGGAATAGACTATTACGCTATACTACTATATAATATAATTATTTTCTTTTTCATAATTACTTTAACGCCTTCTCCTTCCTTTTCGAACTATTAACGGGCGCGTCATTTTCATTATAGTCCTTCGTAATTATATTATTCTCTATTGCCTTTAATTAAATCTTGAAGTATTTAGAAGTTTTAGTTTGTCTAGGCTGTTGTTGTAGTAATTTTTAAATTTGCGCACTATATTCATAAATCCTCCTACGTTGTATTATATTAGGTTTGAATTCTATCTTTTCCATTTCATTTAGTACTTAAGCTTGCTATTTACTAATCGGTAGGTAATGATATTTTTAACTTCCTATTCCTCTTTATTATTAATAATTTCGCCTTTGGGATCATTATTAGCTTGCTCGGGCAGCGGTTTATTTGGATCCTTCCTTAAGCAATTAATATAAAATACTTTTAAACGTCGCTATATGTCTATTAGTTTCAAAACGTATAAATATCTAATTATTTTAATAATTTTATACAGTACCTTAGTCTATAGGTAGTCTAGTTTATTACAAGGCTGGTTTATTAATTAGGTTTTTTGAATAATAAATACTCAATTACTAATTTAAAAATCTAGTTTTCATTAGTATTTATTTGCTTATTTAGTCTACCTTTTTTATATCCGTTATACTATTCTTCTAACCTCCTTCTATACTTTTTCTAAGAGTGATACTCGGCGCGCAGTGTTATTTTCTACTTACGTAGTATATACTGCGCGAGTAGGGACATCTATATAGGGATTTCCACCCGCGCAGTGCTATAATAATCCCTAACTCTATTATATTTCTAATAATATTAGACATCCTTATAGAAGTATCGTTCCACCTCCAGTATCCCCTTGTATTATACTATTTTTAGTATTGAACTTGAGTAATCTATTTATAAGTTAGAGTTACGTTATCTACAGGTACTGACTTATTCTTTTTATTAATTTTTAACAATTTTATAGTCCTACTTCTAATTGTTACTCAAGGTTCTAATAAACGTAGTATAGCAGTTTCTTACAGGTAGGTTATTTATTAACTAAGTTTGAGAAAGTAAGGGGATAATTGAATGGAGCAATAGGGAAAAGGCTATTTACTATACTTATAACCCTATTAATAAAGGTAAAAGGATCTAACGAGGAAGAGTATCCTTTTACTTTTAATTCTTATATATCAATAATAGAACCTACAGTGTTATAGGGCTAGCGCCCGGGATCAAAGACTCGGCTTTACTAAGTCTACTAAAGCGGGTCGGTCGTATTAATAAGGATGCGAGCCCCCTAATTAGTCGGATCTATATATTTGCCTAGCCTATACGCTTAGTTATAAAACCTTCTTTCGATTACACCCTTCTAATACAATCTTCCTTTACTCTCTTTATTAAATATAGCATTTCAACCTTATATAACTGCTCGCTATACAATACTCTAGCAGACCTGTTACATTATATTTAACCCTCTTTTCAAATCAACACCGTTACCGACCTCTCACAGGCACACCCGAAAAATCTCCCTTTATCTACGATAATAACGCCGACCGCTTTCCCCGCGATCCTTTAATCCTAAAATCCCTAAGAATATTTCTAGCAATTTACGTCCGTCTTCTAAACGTTACTAATTGAGGTTATTTCGAGGCCGACCGCTATTTCTGAAAAGTAGGTACTTCCCTAGCTAGAAAGGTTCGCTAGTAATAAAGAAAATTTCAAAACCTAGGTTTTAAATACTCAAACGAAGCTCTATATAAATAGTTCCGCTATTAGCGATTTAAAAGTATAATTTTACTATTTACTCGCCTACCTATCGCTTACTATTAAAAAACTATTTATTATTTTTACCTCCGGCTCTCCCTTATTATATTTACCTATTACCCTATTTAATAAACTCCGGCTTACTTATAGTAATTTTAATATAGTAAAGAGTGTTAGTTAAGAATTTTATTAATTTTGTTAAAAGTTAAGCGAATTGATAGTAATATTCCTCATTCAATTTAAGGAGGTACTCTATTACACTTATACTAATTCCTGGTTAAAAGTAGCTAAAATTAATTAATTTACTGCTACTTTAAGTAATAATTAGAAGTAATAGTTTTCCAACTGATTTAATATACTTAAATAATATTCTCTACTATTTAAATACCTTCGCCAATTTAATGGTAATTCCTTTCTTTTTACCTTATTTTCCTAAAGGCAATCAGTTAATAATAATACTAGTAATCCTATAAATACTCCTATTAATTTTACTATACTAATAAGAATAAAGGGGAGTAACGACGTTTCTTAGAAGTAAAAGAACAAGTAGAAGAAGGAAGGCAAATATATTGATTGTAATAATAAGTCGTACTAATTTAAAAAATACCCACGGTTATCTATAAAAATAAATACGGTCCGGCTCCAATCCGGTAGGGGCTTAGACGGTTATAATAATAATAGTTTAGAAGAGGAGGACAATTCGGATTAAGTAAAGCTATATTAACGGCGACCCTAATAATATTGGGGGTAAAGGAGCATTACTACGTTTAAAAGGCGGAACCTTTAGAAGTTTATTAAGTATACTTCTACTAGTTAGAATAATAAGGCTATTGTATAATACCCTTTACTGCTTAGTTGTGTAGGTAGTATCTATTATAATACATAATTATTAAAAGGTAATAGATATAGTATTTCGTAGGTATAAAACTATTAAACTATTTTTACGGCGGTAAGGATAAAGTTCTTACTAGTAGAAGAAATAGAGCGCTATAAAGTATTAAGTAACAATCTTAATTTTGATTATCTTTATTACGGATTATTAAAGTATTATAGTAAATAGTTCCCAGATAGGTAAGGTTTAAATATATCCCTTAATTAAATTTTAATACTTCGGCCGGGGTATAATTTTATAAGGGTAGTAATACCAATTCGAGTAGGGAGTAAATAATTGTATAATATTTATTTAGGGGCTTAAGTAGGGAGATCTTTCTAATCTAGTATTATTAAAATACCTATTTAGTTGGGTATTTAGTAGAGAGCGGTTGTAGGGGATTTTGATTATTTCTTTATATATTCAATAGAGTGCTTTTTAGTATAGTGGAGCGCGCTCCCTAAAGGGGAATAGGGGGGTAATGTTATAAAGCTAGCGCCCGGGATTAAAGACTCGGCTTTATTAAGTTTACTAAGACGGGTCAGTTGTATTAATAAGAATATAAGCCCCCTAATTAATCGGATCTATATATTTGCCTAGCCCATACGCCTAGTTATAAAACCTTCTTTCGACTATACCCTTCTAATACAATCTTCCTTTACTCTCTTTATCAAATATAGTATTTCAACCTTATATAACTGCTCGCTATATAATACTCTAGCAGACCCGTTACACATAGTAGAATCCTCCTTACCTACCTATACTAACCTTACTAACTATCTTACTAAAGATTACTATAGTACTGTATAGGTAGGAATCCCTATATAGATATCCCTACTCGCGCAGTATATAGAGTAAACTAATATTAAAAATGGTTTTTAAAATAAGTAATTTTATGATAGTATATCAGTAAAAAGAAGTATATAGAAAGGCGGAATAGAAATATTTAACTTTAGTACTAAGCTTTAATATAAAGATAGTTAAAATAAAGATATTGCTTAAATACTATAAAGTTTATAAAAAAGTAATAGTATTAAAAAGTAAAAGAAGAATATTATAGAAAAGAGAAAAGCTTTAAATAGCTATCTATATAGAAAGAATATTTTATGTGAGAGTTAAAGTATAGGCTATAAGGTAGTTTAACTATAATAATCTAAGAACCTAGACTAAATATAGCAAGGAAACCTCTATAACAGCTTAACTAATTTAGACTATTATGACTAATAAAAGCTATAATATAATAAAGATATAGAACTTCAAAAAGTTTCCCATTATTAAAGATTTATAGCTATATATATTTTTAATAGAAGTACTATATATAAAATATCTATATTATTATAAAGTAAGTGTAATTGTAATATTGAGTATATATATTGATTTTATAATTATATTAAAATACGGTTCCCCTGGGCGGAGCCGAAGTCCAGGGGAGACAGAGAGACGCCCTTATCAATTACTTAATATATAGTAAGAAAAAAAAAAAAAAAAAAAAAAAAAAAAAAAAAAAAAACTCAAAGCTGAACTGAACAAATAACCTTTATGAAAAGTAATACTAATAATAACCATTGAGCTATGAAGCTTAAATAGTTTCTTAAATAAGTAGATGGATTTTCTTCTTAATATTACTAACCTTAAAGAAAAAAAAAAAAAAAAAAAAAAAAAAAAAAAAAAGAACTCAAAGGCAAAATTTTATATTTTTTTTTTATTTTTTTCTCTTTACTTGAATTTTCGATTTTCAACCCTAACCCTAACCCCCCTAAACTTCTAGGGTTAGGACTTCGTTATTTTTAGGACTTGGTCATTTCTGGGACTTGGTCATTTCTAAGTTACGGTCGCAACCAAAATCCTTATTTTTAACTTCTTTTGCATTTTTCTCAATAACCAGGGCGTGCACTATAATGTAACCGGTACCAAAATGACCGCCTTTTTCTTCTCGTCATTCCGGCACCAGGTGTATTTTGATGCACGCGACGGTCGCGGAGTAATCTCCATTGCAAGGGAAAAAGTGGCTTTTTCGCTCTGCTATTCAAAACGTATCCTGCTTGGCGCCAAATTTTCCTATTTAGGACTACCAAGACGGGTAATTTTCTACATTCTAGCCTATTATAGACAGATACGCCGCGCCTTTCTCGCTTGCGGCGTTGGAGTGGGCCCATGGACTACCACCTTTGGTGTGGATCTTCCATGTCACCTTTCGGGCCCACGACAACAGCCGGGCAAGCTCTGAAAGCAAGGGCGTCTTAATAAAGAGAATTACTATTTATCTTATATCTTTTAGTAAAGTTTTAATATAATAGTATTAGTATTTAGATTGAACTTTATAATACTTAATTTTATTTAATAGTAGGAACGTTGTAGGTTTAATTCCCCATAGTAGTAAGTATTATAGAAGCTTATAAACTTTAATACGCAATAATAACCTATTAGAAAGCTTACTAAACTTTTAAATAGTATATATACCCTACAATACCTAATAAGAGATTAGAAAGCGACTAATAAGAAATTGGAAAGATAGCTCAGCCGTAGTACTATATACTTTAACTTAGGAAAGCTAGAAGAGAAGGGAGGTAGTATTATAAATTAAGTATAGATGTAATATTAAATATATATATATATATCCTGCAATTTTATCTCAAATAAAATTATAATCTATCTTTTACCTTTTAATAGAAGTTTAGTATAAGAGTATTAGTATTATATACCTAATTCTATAATATTTATATAAATGACGCCGAAACCGGAAACGCCGATTTCTAGTCGAGGAGTGCTCCAAAACGAAAACTGATAATGGCAATCGACTTAGAAGGGTCGTTTACATCCCTCATAATATCCTACAACGAGCGTAGCGACAACATTGTATTATTACTACTAATAATTATTAATAGCGGTACTTGTAGGCTCGAAAATAGCGTTTATAACCCGCTTGCGGAAATTTCAATTTATAACAACCCTAAAGCTATATTCACTATAAAAATTTCGGAAAAAATAGGAGAAAATAATAAAATATTAAAGATATTTATTATTAGAATAAATAAATTTGTAAAGTATAATACTGTTTTAACTAAAGATTAATATTAAATCCGAAAACTATTTTTCGAATTTATAAAGGTATGTATTAAAAAAATACATTTCTGTAACCCAAGGTTAATAAGGTTAGAACCGATTAATTTATTATCAAGAAGGATTTCGATAATTTTAAGAAGGATATTCTAAAGGAAATTAAGAAAGGCGCCTAGGAGGTACCGAAATATTAGATTGATATTATAGCGAAAGTTATCCTAAGTAAATTTGGTACTACCCTATAATAATTGTTTATTATTACTATTAAGAGATTTACCCTTTCTAATTTCAAATAGTAATTTATAATTAAGGGAGTAATAATTATTATTGAATTTGCAAACTATTCGAATAAAGATATAAAGACGACCCTAGTTATAAATTTAAATCAAGAACAACCCGGCCTAGTAATTCGTATAATTATTAGAATACTAATAATTAGAGATTATATAATTATATTTACCGAGTTTATATATAATCAATATTAGTAGAATTAAATATAAATTAAAGAAATCTTTAGTCGGGATATTTTTATTACTATAAATATTATAAGTATATTAATTTGAAATATACCTTAAGTTAATATTAATAATTATATTATAATAGAAACTTTGATAAGAATAGCGAGGGAAAGAAATATAGAGGTAGTTATTATTAAAGTTTAATTATAAAAGAGAAGGGATAGAAAAAATAAAAGTCTAATTTTAATAGAAATTGCTATTATGTTAATAATATATTTCTTTGAAAATAACCTCTTTTTTCAAGATAGTAGTGTATATTTGTATAAACCGTTTTAAATTTCGAATAATGTTTAATAATACTATGAATATTAAGGAATTGAATATATAATAAGGTTCTATTATTAAAAAGATGTTTACGTTTAATATAATAAAATTAAATATAAAGGAGATTGTTTTGGCGAAGTAAATTACCTTTCTAATAAGGATTAATCATTTATTTATTATAAATTATATAAATAAAAGAGATATCTCGTTTATAATTATAAAGAATATTCTATTCTTTAGAAAGCTATTACGAAAATATCCGTCGTGTATGCTGAAAGGCTATAAATGTTCGCCCTTTATAAAAACCCTATTAGGGAGGTATTGGAACCAATGATAGAATTTATAAATAAAGGTATTTTATTAAATGCCGCTCCTAATTTCTATACTATTACTACCTTGAAAAAGTAATTTGTAGGAAATATAAAGAGAGAATAGCCGAAGAAAATTATTAATCAAATTTCCTAATTAAAACCTTTAATTCTATAGGGTTTAATCGATATTTATTACTTATATTCGTAGAATGTGGGGGATTTAAACGTATAATAATAAAGGTATTTATATAATTATAACCCCCTTTAGGGAAGTAATACCTTTATTCTCCGCTATAAAATTAAAAGGAACTCTATTCTAGGGTAATTAATAATTTAATCAAAAATATTCTATTAGAGCGTAGGGAAATTGTATAAAAGAAGGAGATTTTTATTTAAATATGAAGAAACTTATAATATTATAGTAATTTAGGAGCCGGGTAGGAATTTAAATAGGGATATTTACCGTCCGAAAGGCGGAAGGTATGTTAGGGTTAATTATTTAGAAGGGGGAAGGGCGGTAATATATATAAATAAAAAATAGGATTTAAGAGATTTAAATTTCTAATCCGGGAAGGATTAGGCTATAATAATATTTGAGAATTAAAGGGATTTAACGATTATTCATTCTATTTATTCCCCTATTTTAATGTAAGGAATGCTAAAATATTAATAGGGGTTATTGCTTTTCAAATTCTTTGAAACCGGCCCTCTAATAGAAAATTAAATCATAATGGGAGATTTCAACCTCTATTATCCTAATTAGAATTTAGAAAATAGGATTAGCCTAGGGGTTATTTACTTTTTTATATACGTATAATATTAGAAATTTAATTTATTTACCCTTTATAGTAAATTAATAAGATTTAGGAATATAATACAAGGAGAAAGGAATAGGATAATTAATTGTATATAATTATTATTTAGGGTCGAAGCCGAATATTAGGGAATAGTGTAGTACGAATAAACCGGTTTAGACTATCATTTTTAGGAAGTTTAAATTTAATTAGAAAAAAAGAATAGAAAAGTGGAAAAAGAAGAAGAATATAATTAAAGTTTTATAAATATAATAAAAATAAAGGAGCTAGTAAGAAATGGATTTTAGTCTTAAAAAGGATTAATATAATAAAAAATATTAAGTTCGCTTTTTGTAAATTTAATAGAGAATTAATAAGTATTATAGAAGAATTTTTTTATATTGGAAGAAAATTCGAAGAGGAAAAGTAAATTAATAAATATTAAAATATACAATAGTAATAAAAGAAGTATAGCGGATATATTAAATGTAATTCGGATATTGAATAATATTATATTAAAAAGATTTTATTAAAGTTATAATAAGAAAGAAGAAAATAATAGTAAAAGTATAATGGGCTATATAGTATAAAGGTGTTATAGAGGCTTTAAAGAACTTGAATTAATTTTAGCTATTTAAGAAGTAGGTCGGGACTTTAAATTATTAATTAATAGATTCGTCTAAATTATTAGCCCTTTAAATTTATAAAAGGGTAATAGAAATTGGAGATTATAGTAGTCAGGCTGAGATATTCCTCAAATACTTTTTCCTAAAGGTGGACGTTCTTATAGACTATTTACTGAATTCAATTAAATTATTAAATAGTATTAACTTAATAGTTATTGGCGAATTAAATATTAAAGAGGACGTTTAGGATGTCCTTTCCCGGATAGTATTCAATAAGACCCCTGGGGTTAATTGGTATTTAAATAGGTTTTCAAAGTTATATATATAATTAATCTAGTAGGTTATAGCGTATTTAATATCCGTTAATTTCTAATTTGGGTATTTTTTATAGTAATTTAAGTATATAAAAGTAATTATCTTTAAAAAATGTAGAAGAAACGCTATTTAATAGAAGTTAACAGGCGTATAGAGACTTATATTACTATTTAATAATATTAGAAAAATCTTCAAAATATATATTATTAAAAGATTAATATAGGTAGCCGAAGAGTTTGATTTCTTATTAGAGGGTTAAATAAGTAATTAAGTAGGTTATTTAATGGAATTTATGATTTAAGTAATTATTAACGCGGTATATATAATTCAAAAGCTTAGGGTTATGATGTCCCTTATATTCTTTAATTTAAAAGGAGCGATTAATAAACTTAATTATAGGTAATTAATATACTTTATAGGAAATATAGCTCTTAATATAGATTATTAAATAGGTAGCTAACTTTATTATTGGTAGAAGAAATTCCCTTTTCTTTAATAATAAAATATTCCGCCCCTATACTATTATTATAAATATATTTCAAAACTCCTCCTTCTCCTTTATCCTATTTATTCTCTTTATTACCCTACTATATTGAAAATCAATTATAATTCCGAATATAATTATAATTAGCTTTATATATAATATTAATATTATTATAATAGTATATACTATAGAAGAGAATTACTAGACTTTATCAGTAATATAGAAGATATATTTAAAATAAATAAGAATAAAAGGTATGGAATTTAAAGCGAATAAAACGGAGTTAATATATTTTATACGGACGAGGGTCCTAGAAATAGAAATTCTTTAATTTAGAAATATAATACTTTAATTAATGAAATTTATAAAATTCCTAAAGGTTCAGCTAAACCAAAAATTTAAGTATACAATTTATGTAAAAATAATAAAATAAAAAACAAAAACCTGGACGAAAATATTTATAAGATTAGTAGTAAAGACGTAGGGTTATTCCTTTATTCGGGTAAAGGAAATATATATTAAATATATTTATAATATTATTATATATAGAGCTTCAATATTCTACTAACTGACCGAAATCTATAGGAAATTACGAGGAATAATAATAATAATCTTGTTCCCTATACTATATAACTATAGTGCCTTTTTGGCATAGGGTCCTTCTCCAGTTCCCTAGAGGGGAAAACCGTACAATGTTAAACACCGCCGGATAAAAACCCCCAACTATATTTCGGTTGTAGATTTTATACTGTTCCTACTTTATTTATAATTATAACGGTTCTTACCTACCGTTATAGCGAACTAATTTCGTCTTTTTTACTGCTATATTATTTTAATATTAAAATGATAAGAATAATAGGAATAGGATTTAAATTTAAAGTCTTACTTCCCTTTACCGTCCTTCTATTTTAATATTTACTGTTCCTTTCTCCGCCTTTTCCCTACTTCCCTGTCCTATCTTTCTATTAATTTCTCTACTTCCCCGCCTCCTTATTCTATTTATAATTACTTCCGCCCCAACCTTTTACTTCTTTCTCTATAATTCTACCCTTATTTATAATAATATAAAGACCCTCTCCTTCTTTTATATAATCCTCCCTATAATACCCTTTCTTAATTCCCTTCTTCCTTCTTTCCTATTACAACTTTATTTAAAATAATTTCCTTTAACTATTATTACTCTAGCCTAACCAATTTAACCTCTAATATAAAAATTTCTTCTCTGAAATTGTCCCCTAATTTTATATTCCTAGTATATTTAAAATCCGCGGCCTTCGCCCGTATTCTCTATAATTTTCCTGACCTTATAATTCCCTAAAATTAGTATAATTTCCTTCTTTATCCTTCTAATCTATACATTAACCTAATTAATATTATTCGTAAAATTCCTTATTTATAGTATATTTTAAATTTAATTACCTTCCTAAAAACTAATAATAGGCCTACTTCTACTAATACTTTCTATATAATTATTATTAGTAAAATTTATTATGTTTTAGCGTCCAATAGGTTCTTTATTTTTTTATTCCTTTCCTCATTATTAATTAACTCCTATATTATAATTACTAATTTCTAGAATAAGATTTATATTTATACTATTAATAAATATATAATAAACATCCCCGCCGGCCTTTATAATGCCTATAATACTATTTAAACAATAATTATTACTATACTATTGGATAATTAACCTAAATTCAATTAAAAAATAAAATCCTTTATTTATATTACTAATAGTTTTACTAATTATATATATATTACTTAGAATATAATAACCTACCTACTAATATTTATATTCTTCTCCGCTCTCTATATTCTAATATTACTAACCTCTAATGGAAGGGTTATTATAAATTAATTATAAAAGTATTTATTATAATTATACCCCTTCCCTCCCAAATAATAGTATTATAAATCCGGTCTAGATTATTTCTAACTTTAACGGCGGTATTATTATTCCTATACGTATTATATCCGGTAGTAGTATTATTATTATTTTCATTTATATAATTCCTAATATTAATAATAGTAGTTTTATTCCTAGTAGTCCGATAATTATCAATACCCCCAGCTACCCTACTTTAAATAAACATTAAACTTAGTAGTACTATAAGATTATTACAAATTAAACTTATATAATAATATTGCTCAAATAATTCCTTAAGCGTAATTAGGCATTTTATTAAGTAATATTCTAGTTTTTACTATAGTTATAATTTGAATAATATTTATAATTAATATAATTATGCCTTCCTTATTCCTATATTTAATTATCCTAATATTACCAATATTTTATTCCCTTTTTAAAAGTATTTTGTAAGTTCCTTATATTACTCCTCTTCTAATTTAATTACCAAACAGTATTCTTTTAATCTCCTTAATTTTAATATTTAAGAAAGGATCCTTTTAACTTTAATTCTGTTGTTTAAATATCTTTAAAATTCTTTCTTTGTTAGTAATTAATTTTTGAAGTTTAATTAAAAGAAAATATCCGTATCAAGGCAATTTAGAACTATATAAACAATGGTCTCCTTTTCGAACCTATATATATGAATAAGTATTAGAACATTTATTACTTTCCTCTAATAGAGGAAAACCCGATGGTTAATAACTTCTATTCTAATTTAGACTAGGAGGGAGTTCTTTACTTTAATTAATAAATATAATTCGTTATCTTCGTCTTCTAGCGTCCGTTATCTCCCCTTCTTCTTTTTTATATTAATTATATATCATTAAATAGCCTTTCTATTAAATTTAAGGGTAAGGTCAATAATAGTAAATTTATACTGCTAACCTACTTTAATTACTACTATTACTAAATAATAATTATAGTATAATATTTATTTTCAATTCATTATATCCTCTAACTATTCCTTTCGGTTAGCGGCTATCGGTCCCAAAATTTGCAATAGTAGTAGCGGGGTCCCTAATTCTAAGAGAGGACTTACTATTATTACTAATGATTTCTCCGTTGATACCTACACTTTAGCCTACTAAACTTTAATTATATTACTTTTTAATTTATTAACAAATAACTAACCTCTAACTTATTAAATTTAAATATAATTAATAATTTAAGTTATAGTCCCTCGGACGAATCTAATTTAGTCCGTCTTAGCGAACCTCTCTTCGAAGGTTTGGACCCTTTTATTAAAGTAGAAATCGAACGGTAAATAGAAGGTTTCTATTTTTAAATTTTATACCAATATAATTTTATATATTCCGGTAATAATTCTTAAATATTAAATTAAATACTTTACTAATTTAATTACTATTCCTTATAATTAAACTATAACACGGGAGTTAAATAATAACGAGGAGAGGAATAGGAGGATAAAGAACTTACCGGACGCCGAAATATAACAGACCTTACTAATAACAACCGCACAGAAGGCGTTGACGGAGGTAGGCTTATCGCTAGTCTTCGGGTAGGTAACTAAATTTAAAGTATAGTATAGGTAAGGAATTTTACGAATAATACTAGTCGGGTTAGTATATAGATTAGAAGGACGAAGAGGAAATTATACTAATTCTAAGGAATTACGAAGTTAGAAAGATTACGAAGGAAGCGGGTAAGGGTTATAGGTTTTAAATTTATTAGGAATATAGGGTTAGAGAATAGTTTAAAGGAGGAGATTTTTATATTAGAGGTTAAATCGATTGGGTTGGGGCGATAATAGTTAAAGGAAATTATTTTGGGCGAGAATTATAATAAAGAAGAAAGAAGATAGGAATTAGGAAGGGGTATTACGGGGAGGATTATATAAAAGAAGGAGAAGGTTTGTATATTATTATAAATAGAAGTAGAATTGTAAGGTAGGAAGTAAAAGGCCGGGGTAAAAGTAATTATAAATAAAATAAGGAGGCGGGGAAGTAGAGAAATTAATAGAAAGATAGGACAGGGAAGTAGGGAAAAGGCGGAGAAAGGAACGGTGAATATTAAAATAAAGGGACGGTAAAGGGAAGTGGTACTCTAAATTTAAATTTTATTCTTCTTATTTTTATTATTTTAATATTAGGATAATATAACGGTAGGAGAGACGAAATTAATTTATTATAGTAGTAGGTAAGAACTATTATAATTATAAATAAAGTAGGAGCGGTGTGAAATTTATAATTGAAATATAGTTGGGGGTTTTTATCCGGCGGCGTTTAACGCCGTACGGTTTTCCCTTCTAAGGAATTTGAGAAGGACCCTATACCAATAAGGCACTATAGTTATATAGTATAGGGAATAAGACTACTATTATTATTATAATATTTATATAGCTTTAATAAAATATATTACAAGGCTAGCTTATATATTTTATACTTAGTAGTAATATATAATAAATTTTATAATTATTATTACTATTATAGCTCCTAGTACATTACTAGTAACTAATTAATTAGAACGCTACCTACTATAAATTTATAAACCTACTAGTAATTAGCCCTATAAGGCTAATCTTTTAGGTATTTAATTATATCTCTTATTCTTCGTCCTTTGTATAATTATATATACTTATATAAACTATCTACCCTTTGCTTGTAATAAGAAGGCTTAATATATAAAAAATTCTATAACCTTTTTACAGCTATTTATTTATTATATATTAGATAATGAAAATACAACAAGTATTAAGTTATAATAGTAAAGATAGACTTAAGAAGACTATTGTAATAAAATCCTTTATTTTAAATCTAAGTATTATTCTTTAAAGAGATTCTTCTAGACAGAAAGATTTAATATATATATTGAATTTCCTTTACATTTGTTCTTCTTAGTACTAATATATATATAGGAATATTATTAATTAGAATAATAAATCTTTATAAGAATTCTAATAAAATAACTCTCTTGATATTATTATTCTTATTGCAAGGAATTTACAAGGTATACACGTAGGTAGGTCTTAAAATAAGCTTAAAATAACTAATAAAGAGAAAAAGGAAAGTTTGGGCTAGTAGGGCATAGAGCTTCTAGCTAAATATATAAAATGTAATAGGTATTAAAGATACTAAAAATGCTAAGAACACTAAGACTAGAAACATAGCTTGTATAGCGCCCTAAAGAATACACACAATAATACACAGCGCATCTAGTATTAAGATAGCTACTAACAGCTAACTAGCCTGTGCACCTAACTAGAAGGCACGCCTAGCTTACACCCCTAGGTGCTAGCTCCAGGACACTTATAATATAATAAAAAATAGTTAAGATATAATTGTAAAAGTATTGACATTAGAATATTTAAGGAAAAATAAGATTTTTTTAATTGTATCTTAGTTATATTATATTATATAAAAAAATAAAGATTATTATAGTAAGGTAATATAACAAAAGATAAAAAACGATTACGTCCATTATACTCAATTTCCACTTTTTTCCAAGTTAAGCTCAGACTAACTTTAGCAGAAGTGGGCAGGCTAAGTGAATAAGATTAGTTAAACGTCTGGTATAAGAGACTACTCTATTCCCCTAATGGAACTGTAGTGGTTTCTAGGGTGTCGGATGAACCTCCGGCTACCTCCATAGCTGTAAAAACCTCTTTAAACTTGGATGCACCTATGTCCCAGATTAGACTGATATTGACTATAAAAGTCCAGTAGTACATCCAGGACTTGGGTCTACCTCAGTTGAAAACGTACCTTGTTCAGTCACAAAATATATTTCGAATGCATTCGACTTATTTTGCCGCTGAACCTCTTGTCGATAGTTCTTGCAAAACACATAAAGCTGTATGTTTCTTAACCAAACACGATGCTTAGAACGCCGACTGATCCATGTCGAAGACTGTGCCTGAGCCGTTACTGGTAGCATTCGTATTAGTACCTATGGAACAGAGATGTGAGGTTTCTTGTCTCACCAAATGTAGTCCAAACCGGACATTGCTTTAGTTCGCCATCCCATACCGCAGCATGAAGACGAACACCATGGGTTTGCTGATCCTCGTACACAACGAGCGAGTGCTTGTACCCATCGTCCACAATTTGCCTGCACTTCCACGTCAGCAATGCCTGGATCCCGTTCTCCTAGACTTTAACAACACGTACGCTTGGAATAGCCGCTTCTCTCTTTGTAATCGAAACTCAGTCGGATTGATTTGAACGGTTAGCCTGTTGCGCGCCTTGAGCGCGACAAACGTGCAGTAGAAAAGCACCATCTCTGGGGATATATGGGAGTGATTAGCCGGAGTGATCCCATCGCAAACTCGGTGCCCTTGAAGCTTACCCTCCCATGTGATGAAGTAAAATGCCGCCCACAGCTTGCTACATTGTTCCGACCGGCTCCAACGTTTAAGCTGCAACGCGCTACCTTCGCGCCCAATGCAAAGCTCGTGGACCCCATGGGACGAGAACCAGGCTACTTCGCCCTGGAGACTGCGAATAAGAAGGTAAGGAGCTTGATCGATCGGGTTGAGGTACGCCACCACAGACGTCCTATCACTATCGAAAGGCCTGAATTGACGTCGTCAGTACCTCTACCTGAGGTTGGAATCTTGCTGACACGAGTATAAGATAACAGATCAAGAGGTTGCTTCACGTCAGGATGAAGACCATATGGGACGGCCAAGATCATAGACTAACCGCCGGAAGAGAACTTTGGGTTCTGGGGGTATGGCAAGTTGATCCCGTCGAAAGAATGGGCCGCATGCCTTTGACCTAATACGCCCCGATGCATTAGACACGATTGCTCAATCTTTCTTTTGCAATGCGGTACTCACGGTCTTATATGTTTGAGCTCAGTTCGAGAAGCAAGTGGGAGCGAGAATATTTGTTCGGCCCAATGAGCATTCTGATCCCGTGTAGTCAGCATACAAGCTGGTAAATTAGACTGCACGAAGGCCGATACGGACAGGATCGGTAAGAGTTGGCCAAGAAGTTACTATGTCGGCAAGACTCACGGAGTCGACTTGCTTTGGCAATGGGGCTGCGGAGGTAGTATAGATGTTAGTTGTCCTCGCGGGAAAAGAACCTCAAGCTGGGTCACTTACGAATTCCTCGTTTCTCCCTCAACTCAACAAGATGGCCACGGAGCGTCTCGAGTGTATTTGGATCGAAACACGGAGACCTATGCATAGTTAGAGCACAGTCGTTTCCAAAGAGTTATCGTCAGAGTCACCATTCACCTGTTAAGAAGGTACCCTAACATAACCAGAAAGTTATTGTAAAGCACAAAACGCTGGGGAAGCGGAACACCGCCGGCTTCTTGCGTCATCTTGTTGTACATCTTCCGCCACCGCATTTCCCGAGTAAGTGATATGTCCTCATAGTAACCCAAAATATCGTTCAGGGTACGACACAGGCATGGTAAAATAATATTCAAGTAGTCGAGAACCAGGGGGACGCGTTCGGTATGAGACTGGGAATTGCTGGCAAGATCGCGAAGCCGCCTGCTCGAGTCCCAAATCCCGCCCGCCAAGGCGATGAGGTGGCCGTGGAATGACTCCGGGAGCGCCTCCCGTAGTTGCTCTAACGCGACGGCCACATTGGCAGCTCGTTCGGCCTCGTGGCAACAGCTTTTAAATAGATGTAGCGCGCAGGGTATGTCGATGTTGCTGTGATCCATGACATCCAGAGAAGCCTGTGGAAAACCGTACAAATTTCGATGACCAATTCAGCCGCGGCCGCCAACGAATATACATTGGAGAGCTAGTTCGCAGAAAATCGTGTGGGATGATATGGCGCTGTCGCCGTCCTTTCTGCTACGGCTGGTTGTAGCTAGTTAGTATTATAGCTGCAGCGAGGATCGAACCGCGACGCAGCGGGGGACGACAAACGAGAGTCAATTGCGTAACATGTACGTACTTATACACTACCTAAAAGGGAGACAGTCTCAGCCGATTGACCATCCAAGAATTCTCGGCTGCAGTTGGCTGGCCTAACTAACTTACTTGGCGCCCAACGTACAAAACATCAGTAGGTAGGATAGTAAAGCCTTAAGCTCATCCAATATACGCAGACTGGGACAAACCCACAAATGCCCAATTGGTAGCTGGACCCTGGACTGGGAGGCCCTCCGCGTGTTCCAACTGGATATGCTGCACGAAATACACGGAGATACTATGGGAGTCGAGGAGTCAGTGACCGCCACGAAGGGGCAAAACACACACCCTTCAGGGCTGATCGAACTCAAGTGATACAGTAGATTGACGTCTGCCACTCCATAGCTGGACTATTCGGAAATACTCAGGTATAAGACGTTCACACAACTTGAACAGAGGCTGTAGCATAGGCTGCATGATCAGGAAGAGAGCAACAGGTATGTTATACGTGGATTTAGATCATGGAACCGTTAAGATTTGTCTTCATTTTATATACGAGAACTGTCGACTGTAGTGCGTAGTCAGCCCTCAGTATCACTAACCTCATATCAGTATTACCGGGCAGTACTTCTGATCATCATGATCTTTGGAAGAACGACGTTCGCATCTAACCACGGCTATAGGGGACGGTCTTTGCAAGGCCTCTAGCGTCAAGTGTGTCCGCAACAAAGCCTGGTGACTATCTTATCATTGAATCACTTGTCTTGACCGAATTCTAGGTAGGAAGTATATAATCTTGCGACAAACAACAGCAACTGCGCCAAATGGGGCTGTTTGATCGTTCGAGCAGTAGCCTATATTAACCAGTTCCGCGCCGCCCTTAAAAAAAAAAAAAAAAAAAAAAAAAAAAAAAAAGCGTCAACCAGTATTTGAACCCTTATACGACGTGGGCGATACATCATCGTTGGCCGCGCAATCGTGCAAGTCCATCCATGGCAACTCTTGATCCCCTGCCATTGCGTGCGCACCTGTTCCCGAATATCAAAAACTGAGATTTGTTGTACAAGCTAGCCAGCAATTAAGCTGACTGGTTCGATAGGTCCCCCAATGGAGGGATAGCTTTGTCCCTTGATCATAGCAAAGCTCGTGCAAACCATGGCGTAAAAAAGGAAATCCCTTGGCACCGTAACAACACCGTCCGTCCCAAAATACAAGGTCAAGTAAAGAAAGCCTCGTTTGCTGATCGCAGTGTCTTGCTCCGGTCAAATATCAACGTGAAATTTTCAAGACTGGATTTCGGCGAGCGCAATCGAGTCGGCGAGAAGGGTTCATTCAGGAAGACTCCTCCTCGTCGGCCTCGGCCTATGCGCCTCATGATCAGTTTCCATTGCTAGTAGAGTTGGGATAACGTAGGGATGACTCACGTTGTACGCCTGCTTCTCGTCCTCATAACGCTTCTTGTCGGCAGCAGCCTTGGCCTCGTAGGGGGCACGCTGCTTGTCGCTGAGAGCCTTCCACCTTTCTCCAAGGATCTTGCCAACCTGACCGAAAGAAACGCCTGGGTTCTCTTCACGGACATTCTCACGCTGCTCATTGGCAAAGAACATGTAGGCAGAGAGGCCACGCTTCGGGGCGTTGGGGTCTTAGATAACACAGGTCAGCAACAGCAACAAAGACCTACAAATAGGAACGGCGACCACTTGTATGTTTTGGACCAGCTGCAACCTAAGCCCACCGCAAGCAGTGCATGCGGGCCTTTTCATTGAAGCATGACCCTACAAGACAAGCGACCAGGTTGCTACTGGTATGACATGCAAATGGGGGAACATCATATCAAGCGCTTCGTGGGGAAAGGGTTGGGTTGCGGCAACTCACCCTTCTTCGCGCGGCGTTTCTCGACCTTGCCGGTGGTCTTGCTTTTGGCGGCGGCCTTGGGCATATTGTCTAATCTGCAGGTCAAAAATACTGTTAGGATTGGGTTAACAACTGAGACCGTGTCGCGGCGCGTATGAATTGACTGATCAAGCCCACGAGTTTCGTTGGTAAACTGCGGCTTGTCCGACTTCAGACAAGCTGCAGAGCGAAAAACACGAGCAGGATATGCGGATGTGTATGCTCGTTGGCCAGAGCGAGTGCGGCACCCGTAACTGTCGAGACAATTGGCATGCAACTGCTGATGGAAAGGGCAGGCATGCTGCGTCGTCGAAGCATCAATGGATGCCACACAAGCGACAAAACATACTTGACTGATTTTTTTGCTGAGGATGAGGCTGTTTGATTGCGCGGTGATGCGGCTGTTGAGAGATTGTGCCACCCTGGTCAGCAATTGCGGTACGTTGTGATGTTTTTCTTGACGCGAGACCGGAGACGTGTGTGTGCAGCGCAAAGTGAGCTCCCGGCGTGGTGCGAAGGTGGCAGGTCCTATGGAAGCTTTGCGTGGAGACAGCGACGCGCAGAACTCGAGCTGGTGCTGGGAGCGCTGAGCACCAACGCGCAAAGCAACAAGCGTGCACCGGCCTCACTTTGGATGGCAACAGCGAGGTGGGCAGTGAGGTTGGCCGGTTGCATAAGACCCAATGGCAGTTCCGCTTGGACGGAGGCAGGCAAAGGCCACAAGGCCAAATGCCAGATGGGCGCGAGTACTTGTGATTTTGGTGGTGCTGGCTAAGGAAAGGAAGTACTCACATACGCGTGCAATGGGCGTGGGAAATGGGTATCGAGGTGGGCGTGGTGAGCGGTGCGCTTCGTTTGTATGGGAAAAGAGGAGGGAGTTTTGTGAGAGAGAGGAGGGGGCGACGCCTTTGCCCGGTATTTTACTATGGGCGGCTGATTGAAGGGGCGGGGGAAGCTCCTTCCTACTTCATAACAAAAAAGGGTGCAGCGCCGGCTGATTTTTGCAGCGTGATTTGGGAGGGAGGCGAGGGCACCCACTCATTCATCCCTCTTCGGACCGGGCCACTCCAATTGCACTGCAGTCAATGGCTGGCGGTCCTGGCGCTGGCCAAGCGCCAGCAAGGTAGAGGTACTGGTACATATCCCGCCTCGCCCACTTGCGCCGTGCTTGCGGGTACTGTGTACTTTGCCTGGTTCGTGCTTGAGTGGTGTGCGGAGCGCTTGAGGTTTCGGCCTGCCACCTAGCTTCCAGTGCAGCAGCTATCCAGCTCGAGCCCGTGCCAATTCCATCTCCAGCTCCCACAGTTCTAGTCCAGCTCCAGCTCCAATTGAAAAGGCTGGTCAGCTCCCATCCAACTTCAAACAGTTCTGAGGTTTACCCGCGTCACCTAGAGGTCACTCCCGCTTTCTTACAGGCTGCCGCTGCACCTCGGTCACTCGCTTCAGTTGTTTGATGCCATGCCATCCCATGCCATCCCATCCTCGCCTGGTCTGGATGCATTCGGTGCAGTTGGCTGCCGTGCTTTCTCGGACGGGGTCGAGCGCCCAGCTCCCGCCCGGCTTTGGCCTTTTTGGATGAGCACTAGGCGGACTGGCACACACCCGTCACTTTCCTCTCTCACGCAGTCTCCTCTCTCACTCAACTGTCGTCTCGCTCTCGTCCGTATCCTTTTATTGGGGGCGGTAATCTGCCCTGGCATCAATGCCTGCTTATTACTGAGCGTCAGGAACGGTCCAAAGAGGACGCCTGGGGTGGGCTGCACTTATCTCATTCCACAAACTGCACTGCCTTGATCAACTGCCCACTGGGTACCCCCCCCCCCCCCCCCCCCCCCCCCAAAAAAAAAAAAAAAAAAAAAAAAAAAAAAAAAAAAACAGAAAGAACGACTGACGATTTCAACTAGTACGGCCTCACTACCCGCAAGGCGGCCCTCATTTCGACTAGGCCATGACGCTCTGCAAGGGCTTTAGAATGGCTTGTGTGAGACACGCAGTTTGACCAAGCCCCCTGGCTCTCAAGTCTAGCATGGCGACCTGAAATCTCGTGCCATTTCCTTCGTCTCTGCCTGACCTGTTCCCAGAAGATGTTATGGACGCGTCCAAGGATTGCAAGACGTCAAGACTGCCAAGGTGTGAATGCAGCATCGTAGGTTAGTATTGGCTTACCAATGGTGTTCTAGCAGTTGTCTCTGAAAGACAAGGTGGTTGAGTTGTGCGGACATTTGCCAACAGTTGCTTGCTATTGTCAGGTACACCAGTTCTCGTCCATTCACATCCGTCGTTTCCGCGCCTACTCGTCAGGTCGCCCACTAGTCAAAGGGTCGGTTTTGAAGACCTGACGAGTAGTTCAGGTACGCCAGGTCTGTCGAGACACGAGAGAGCATCGAGCGGAGCTTCGAGTCGCTACGCTTGTCTTTTGGTACCACAGAACAATCCGTACCACCAAGCTACTAACTGTACACGGTACGGAGTACCTATAATACTCGAATCCGGGCAGCCTTGTAATGCAGAAGCACGACCGTCGTGCCATGATATGTTTCACGCCAGCTCGTTTGGTGAAGGTTCATCACCCATTACTGCATACGGTAGTACTCGTGTGCCTACAAGGCAAGGTTTCTAAGTAACCTGCCATCTACTGGACATTTTACTCTTCGGCTGCTTGTTTTCGATCAAGAAGATACAGTACAAACCTCGGGATACTGTCCCCCTTTGTTCAAATACATTATGGCATCACAGTATGCTTGAACAATAGCAGAGGATAGCGGCGACCAAATCGGGGACAGATAGCACGCAGCAAGTAAGATCTATTGAAGAGGACTGCTCAACATGGAAAGGGCGCAAATTGTTATGTTACAACTTTGTTCCCGGCAAACAATGACCAACCGCTGAATGCGAACCTTGGCTTTGAGAGAAGCAGAGAGGAAGCCGGGGAATCATTGTCTTTGAAAGCAGCACTCGGACCTAGCGTCGTTTCTTCAGCAAATGGAAATAGTCTGCATGGCTTTGCAACTTACCCATGGCTACTATGTAACCATGGGTTGTACTAGGTTGTTCAAATGAGGCATCAAGAATTATGCCGACATGACTGATTACCCAGAACCTCTCGACTGCCAAGTTGGGTTGTTGCTCCTACAATGTATTGGGTATGTTACTTCATTACGGCCCTTTAGTGGAAAACCCCGGGCGGGTCGAGGACTAAATCTCTAAGCCGTTCATCTCGGGCCCAATCGATTCCGGTGCCGGCTACGAGTGCATTCGTAGCTCCCTTGATCGTCTTCCATTTCTGGCGGCTCACCCGTAGCTCACCCTTGGTTTTACACAGCTTTCTGCCCAGTTTGGTAGATCCATCCACCTGTACGTCATGGGTGCCGGTGGTTTTTGACAACCGCAATAGTTCCGAAGCCAAGGTCGCGTTGTGCTGACCAACGCGAAGACGCTCAAGTTCTAGATCCAATATATGGTCTCTGACTTGATAAGAGGCCGAAGCCTGCTCAGCGGCTTCGGCAGATATTAGATCCCGCTGCCGGATCAATGGCAAGATATCTCTTTTAGCGATGCAGACGTCAGCGATATTCGAAGAAGAAATTGAGATCCTAACCACAGTGAAAACGGACCGTTCTACCGGAGAAGCCTCGGTCCCGCCATGTATGGCCCTCAATACAGGCCGGACCACGACGGCACTTTCAAATATGTAGTTCCGCAATTCAACAGTCGCCTTTGCTTCGAGCAGTTGGGTGCGAGCCTCATCTATGTCGAAATGTCCTGTAAAGAATGTAGGGCCTAATGCAGCGCCCATGGTCAGAACATTACAAAAACTTTGAGGGGGGTATACATCGGGTTGCTGACTTTGCGGGTCAGAGAGATCTTGCTGGGCCTGTAGAAGGCCTATCTGAATATGTAGCTCCTGCAGTCTGTCATAGAGTGCCAACGCTTCTTCCTCCGTCTCTGAATGGCGAGGATTGGGATCGGGAACAACAGCCGACATGACGAATTAATCAAGCGCCCCGACTGGGTGGAGGCGGCTGGAGAGATATAGCTGAATGATAATGGTCAAATGTATTGTGTGGTTTGAGGGGTTGAATTTTAAGTGACTAGTCCATATTACTACAAGCTACAGATCATTCCAGAGCAGGTGGATGACGGGAGGCAGACCTTCTTCGTTACAGGCGTAAGCCTATAGCTGTGCGCGTAGGACGCCTGGGTAACGCGTATGAAGCGAAAGGCGGTTCAATTCATGAAGTCAAAGTAACCACGACTAGGAGCAGTACTGTCATCCTGGTCAAAAATGAAACATGGGATCGTGAATGTAATGTAAGCAGGTGGTGGTTCTAGCTCGGAGCGCCTGTGGCATCTTGATGGAGCACCCGACTCCATACACTAAATCAGTGAATGAATGGAGCAGGGAATGAACGACACGGGCAGTTACCCATGGTGTACCTAGGTTGAGAGACCGAGGGAGACAGCATCTACCTACAAGTATGTTACGAGTGACGGAGAGCCGGCGGATATTATGTATATATATATAATAATCAAATTATGCCACGCAGCTTTAAATCTCTGGGTTGACTGAAGCATGAAATAAGATTGTTTTCGTGCCAAAAGAGAGGTAGGTAACTTGTATATCTACTCCATGGTGTACGATGTGGGAGAGATACACTACCTCTACTTAACGCCGACATCGAGGTGGGAGGTGCATCCATTGCAGCAGCATGGAGGTCCCGTGTCACTGTTGCCGAGCGTCCTGGAGCTGCCCCTGGTGTCGGTGCTGGGCGGGGCGCAAAGGCCATTGCGGATCTGGCCTCACAGGGCCCTGGTGGGGGGATCAGGTTGCTTTTCATCTGGGCACTGCCTCTTCAATCTACCTACTTCCCCCAGCCCTCCACCTACCGACTGACGGCCGCTATTACAGACTGGAGAACACCGACTTCATCCGGCGCCAACCTACCGATTATACGTAACAACTCGATCCTGCCATCATACTTGTCAACACCCATTCGGTCCGCCGACTCGTCTGTCCCGTGGAAGCGACTTGGGAAGCATGCGTGATAATGGTTACGCAGGTGTTGATCGCCCATACGGGCCAGCGCCTTGAAATTGACAGTCGTACCATCACATCGTACGCCTCCCCGCCAGTGCCCACATCCCATTGTTTGCCCATCTGACACTTGTGATGGCTGCGTAGCGTATCTGTTACCATTTGCTGACGTCCCCAAAGATTAAATGGCCTGAAGGAATCCGTGGCCAGCCAGAGCTCCATTCCTGTCGAGTGCTTGATTGCCCTGACACCCCAGGGAAGGTCTCTAAGATGGCAGCCAACACAGCCAGAGGTTCGCACATCTGAATGGTCTTGTCAAAGGGCTGTGCTTCGTCGCATCTAACTTGGGGGCAACAGACAGAAATCTACATATATGACAGCCGACTGACACAGCGATCCCAACCCGGGGCCTCGTCACCTCCCTTATCCGAATTGCCTCTTCCCCGATACAATGCACACACTCCGCCCAACTCGATTGAAGATACGCGATCCATCCCAGCATGGCAGAAGCTGTTTGAGACACGCCGTGTTTGGGCTATCGACGTTGTGGAGGATTGCGCCAGGATGGACGCCGCCACGCGGGAGCGCTATGCCGAGATGGACGTCATGTTGAGATGTCTTGATGCCGCTGTAGCAAATCTGGAGAATGCCGTCAAGGGACTCGAGAACAAATATGTCGAGCTGAAGGAGTGGTCCACATCAGCTCAGGCCGATTACAGTGCGTTGGCGACAGGTTTGGATCGATATCTTTCGCTGGCCCGGGGCATCGCTATCTCGTCTAGCATGGCCCAGTTCATGACATCCCGTGACGATGGTGGTTGGAAAGGACGCCCACAGCGACAAAGCACCCTCGAAGACCTTGTTAATCTGGAGCTCGCTCGGCAAGCGGGGAAACTCGCACCCTCTGCACTACGCAAGTTCAAGGATCGCATCACCAACCTGGATAAGGCGGCAACTCATTTGTTCCAAGACGCCGACACTTTGATGCACAAATTTGAGACAACCATGTCTCGCTCAGCCCTGTCCCACGACGGCGAATCGTCACACCTTCTTCAGGATATTGAAGCCTTAGCCAACAAGATCGACAACGACTACAATGTAACGCTAGAGTACACGAGCTCCACCCGGGATACCCTTCTTCAAGTTTCCAAGACGGCAGCACATCACACCGAGAGGCTACTGCCTAGCATCCAAAAGCGCGCACTGGAAATGGGTGATATCTTGTGCTACGCTACCAAGGCGCGAAACAGCCTCGCGGCCGAGTCCATCGAGTTTATGCGTAGCATCACCGAGATCACAAGCGATAGCCACAGCGTAAAATCCCAGATATCCGAGGCTGGCCAGGAGGATGAACTCGCCACGTTTGATCATTTGCGGCTCATCCAACAGATTCCGTATTTGTACGCCTCGTTTGTAGCAGAGGCCATTAGGCGGCGGGAGTGGCTGGACAAAGTCAAACAAGATTCTACCACACTTGCTAATGAAATGGCCATCTTCCACGAAGAAGAGGCAAAGAGGAGGCGGCGCTGGCACAAATCGATTGGGGCCGTTTTTGGTCCTGCCCCGACGGCTGATAGTAAGGTTCCAAATCTTGAAATCAACCTTCGGGGAGATGATGGGGAATGGCCCCTGATGACAAGAAAAGACCTGGATGACTTTTTCAACGCCTTGCGAAATCAAAAGGCCGATCCCGAACTTGTAGTCGAAATCGAAAAACTCATTGCAGACATGGACAATCCAACAAGGCAACAGTCAAGGCGGATGAAAGCCTTTAAAAACGGAAGTGTCCACGAGACTGCTCTCGGACGGAGCGGACTACTCGTACGAGGTGACGATGATTTGCTCCGCTCCTTACAGGCGGACAAGACAAGGCTTGAAAGCAAATTAAAAACTGCCGAAAGCCGAGTGCGCCGGCTAGAAGATCTACTCCATCGGCAGACCCAGGCTTCCAGGCCGAATGTTGGCAACCTTTTCCAGAATCCAAGCCAGCAAGTTCTAGATCGTAACGACTCAACTAGCTCTTTTAGGACCCCCCGTGCTGTTGACGACCGCAGCAGATCATTGGATGGACTTGAGACGCTCATCCATCGAACACAGCAACTAGAGATCGAACTGAATACCGAGAGGGAGCGATGCGTGGTTCTAGAGAGAGAAATCAACGCATTGACGACACTGCATAACGATCTAAAAGGCCAAATGGACGAAGCCAGCTCCACCAAGAAGGATCTCCTGCAAAATATGGAAGCACTCAAACGGGAGTTCACAGAAGAGCGAAAGTCCCTCGAAGAAGAGGTCAAGCAGCTAAAGGCTAGGCTTGAGTACACAGAGGACGAGATTGAACACTTTGGCGAGTCGCGAGAAAACGAGAAGGCATCATATGACGAAAAGGTTCACTTTCTTGAGCTTGAGGTGGAGCGGCTTACCAGGGAAAGACGAGATGATTCTCTGAAAGCGGATGGCCAGGTGGTGGTTTTGCAGAATGAAGCAAGGCTACAACGTGAGCGTATTGCGGCGCAGGATATCGAACTTCGAGCTGCCCAGGATGAGATCAGAGTGCTCAGCAAGCGACTGGAAGCTGTGACTGAGGATAGGCAAAAGTACAGACAGGCACTGGAGGATATATGGGAATGCCTGGCGCCTGCTGATGACGTTCCTACCGAGTTGCCTGATCTCTTGGAAGGAATCACCGGAAAGGCTGCCGATATTCTGAACACAAAGCAAGGCGTGGAGGGGGACATGTCCCTCATGAAGCTCAACGTGGATACGTTGCAAAATAACATCAGGACGCTTCGCTCGGAGATGGAATTTACCAAGGATAGACTCACGGAAGAGGAATCGATCTCGTTGCGCCTCCGCGAGAAGTTTTCAGAAGAAAGGGCGAAAGTCGTTGCCATGGAGGGCGAACTAGCTCATGGACGTGAACAGTTACATGAATTTCGGGTCAAGATTGCCGACGGAGAAACTGGGTCCGAGTACATGCGGAAACGGCTAGAAGACGAGGAACAAAACCTCGCTTCCATGACGGAGGAACTAGCTGCTCGACAATCCCAAGTGCAGAGTTTGGAGGAAGAGGTGACGCGTTTCAAAGCAAAGCTTCACCAAACCCAGATGCAACTATCAGAACTCTCCATACGGCTTGAATCACGTACAGAATGTGCCAAGGATCTGACACAATTTCTTTGGTCACAGAACGACCGCCTTACTCGTTTGCTTGAGCGGCTTGGGTTTTCCATTTCCCGTGAGGAGGATGGTACTATGCACATTCAGAGAACACCTCGCTCTGAGCGCTCATTAGCAACAACCGCGAACCCGAATGATTCAGACCCAAGCTCATCACTCCGTCGTTCCAGTACGCTCAACGCCCGACCCGTGACTGACAATGCGGACCTGGAGTTGCTGCAATGGATGAGTAGTGCAACTCCGGAGGCTGAGGTTGAAAAGTACAAGATCTTCATGGGCTTATTTGGTTCGTTTGACATGGACGTCTTTGCGGATGCGGTGTACCGGCGTGTCAAGGATGTTGAGCATATGGCACGAAAGCTGCAACGAGAGGCGCGAGCGTACCGCGAGAAAGCACACAGCTTCCAGAAGGAGGCTCATGACAAGATTGCCTTCAAACACTTTAAAGAGGGCGACCTTGCTTTGTTCCTTCCTACGCGGAATCAGTCGACGGGCGCTTGGGCTGCTTTCAACGTTGGGTTTCCACATTACTTTTTACGTGAGCAGGATTCGCATCGTTTGCGCAACCGTGAATGGCTTGTTGCCCGAATCATGCGCATTCAAGAGCGGGTGGTGGATTTATCCAAATCCCTACCGCATGACCAGGCAGGGGAGACGAGAAAAGATGGTGCCAGGGGAGAAACGGAGTCTCTTGATGACGATGAGAACGATAACCCGTTTGACCTTTCCGATGGCCTACGATGGTATTTAATCGAAGCTGTTGAAGACAAGCCCGGGGCCCCATCCACGCCAGGCTTGGCCAAGAGCACTGTTGCGGCAAACAATGTCGAAGCAATGGCCGATATGCGGACACAGGGGCATATTTCTAAAGCACGAGGGCTCACTGGACGTGGAGGCACGCCGTTGGGAATCGAAGGCGTCAGCAAGACACTGTCCAAAAGTCTCGAGAGTCGTCGGTCCAGTACGGGTTCCAGGAAGACCCTACCGTTTGTGATTGGCGCCTCGTCGAGGGGTCGTGAAAGCGCCCTTGCAAGCGAGACAAACTCCCTCCGTGCGGTTCCGGCAGACAACAACAGCTCGGCTCCAACGAATGCAGCTCAACAATACATGTCCCCCACAGACAAGCTCAAAGATGCGTCTCTGCAGGAAACTCCCAAGCAAACAACAAAAAGTATTTCAGCGGAGGGCGAAAGCATGACCATTGCTGCAAGAAACGATCAGGCTATTCTACAGCCATCGCAGACTCATTATGACGTTCGCAACGAGATAGAATCTCTGATAGGGCCTTGACCACATTCCAAACCCATGCACTAACGGGTTGTAGGCCCGCTGCGGTCGGATGGGGCGCGGAAACAAAATGCCACTATTCGCAACCGTTTTAGCAAGAATAAAATCAGGGAATCACTATGTAGTACAGACGTCAGCTGCGAGATAGGATGACAAGTAGTCAGGTCGCTAGGCAGTCGAAGCCTAAGGAGAGGGCTTACTGCTGCCCTGGGATTGCTTTCCTTTACATGCCAGATCACGAGTGTGCGGCAAAGCGGTGATGTGCCGATTAGTTGCAGGCCATGAGAACTATTGCGGAAAGAATAGGATGGGTTTTGGAAAATGTTTATTCTTCTGGCCCAGCATACACTTTGATGTCGGCAATGAGACAATATGTACCGGGTGTTCTCAACCCTAGCATGCGAATTCGCATTATTAACGTCTTGAAATGCTTCGTTACGATGTCGTGCAAATAATCCAGTACATTCATCTCCACGTA